ATAATATTGGTCAATAAACTTTATTTTGTTGTGGGTAATATTAAACGATCGGTGCACGCCAATCAAACTTTTTTTCCTCCTCCTTCCCTTGCTCATTTTTGGCATTTAAGGGATGACCGATGATGATGAGATGATGATTTTGTCAGTATTTTTCAGTCTTCACCGCCTTCAAACTATTCCTTCCCAACATTGAAGGGCATTTATTTTTAGTAGTATTTTTGCCTGTCGCGAATTACCGCGTGTTTTTTTATGTTCGCGCTTTTAACCATAATTTAAAAAAAATTATTTTTTATTATTAATTTTCCCCCTAATTTGTTTTACAGCCTTTTTTGGGGGCTTTAAATGCTGGATTTGGGCTATTTTTATTTTTATGATCCAATTTTCTCCTAGTTTTTTGTGTCTAGTAACTATCATAAAAACAATCTTTAAACTTTCCGACTGTGGACTGAGATATAGGGCTCGAAATGGTCAAAATCCATAGGAGAGTTTGGCATAATGGAAAAGTACCAAAAAAGACAAATTTCTCTTTAATACCTCGGCTCAATTCAATCCTTAAGATGACTTATTATCGAACTTCAAGCCTATCTAATATCTTCATATTACAGTGCCGTTTCTTCCGCACTTTCTCTGACCGTCAAGTAACCTTTCCTAATTCCTCCTTTTTTTAAATAAATTTTAAAAAAATTTTCCAACAAAAATATTCACAAAATAATCTGAGAAAATTAATAAAATTTAATCTTTTCTTCATTTTTTTTTATTTTTTAGTCTATTTTTCTTGTAAAAACATTTACTTTCACATAAAAAGTGCCTTGATTGATAAGGGTAAATGATGAGGGGAATTGATTAAAACCCCCAACTTTTTAAGGGGGAAATATAAGCAATTTCTTCCCCCCCCCCCCCACACATACAGGGACGGCAAGGCACTTTTATTCTTCCTTCCCCATTTTTCTTCAATAAATTTTCTTCAATAATTTTCTTCTTCTGATTGATTCTCCCTTCCCCCCCCCCCTTATTTTTCTGTTGCAATTGACTGGGAATAAATATTAAATTATAATTAATTATTTGATTGAGTGGAGTTTTGGCATTCTTATTTTGGAAAGGTATTTACGGGCGTTCTTGATATTTTAATAATAATAATAATTAGAGACCGGCGCGGGACGGGATCCCGACGGGATTTTCCGGGATCCCGATCCCGAAATCCCGGATTTTTTTGATTTTCGGGATCATTCGGGATCCGGGATTTTTTCGGGATTACTCCCTCGGGATCCCGTCCCGGCATCGGTTAAAAAATAAAATCCCGACTCGGGATCCCGGAAATTTTTTTATAATTTCCGGGATTTTTATAATTTTCAAAATTTTCGCCTGCGGCGCTGAAAAAAGAAGAAATCTGGCTTCTTGTCCTCTAAAAATTCTCAAAATTTTCGCCTGCGGCGCTGAAAAAGGAAGAAATCTGGCTTAAGGAACTCCAAAATTCTCAAAATTTTCGCCTGCGGCGCAAGGAAGGAAGATTTTTGGCTTAAGGATCATCCAAAATTTTAAAAATTTTCGCGTTTTGAGTTATTATTGGAGTAAAGTGAAGGAAGGAATATTAATACATAGTGTGATTTTATCAAGGGACCTAGTGATTAATCCACCGATATCCCTCTAAATCCATTATAGAGGGAATTAAAGGAGGAGGACAATCCAATTATGAAAAATTATTGATATTTTTACAAATTTAATTTTATTTACATATAAATTGCAGTATTTTATGCACTAAATTCATAAAATGTTGAAATCTTTTATTTTGAAAAAAAATCCCGAATCCCGGCCGGGATCCCGGATAATTATTTTCGGGATTTTTGAAATTCGGGATTTTTTCGGGATTACTCCCTCGGGATCCCGTCCCGGCATCGGTTAAGAAAAAAAATCCCGACTCGGGATCCCGGAAGTGCGATTTTGCCGGTCTCTAATAATAATTTTGATTGAGAGAGGGGGGTGATGAATTATTGAAGAGAATGTTGTTTGTTTATTCAACGGATCACTTGGATTTTCAACTTGATTCCCCATTTTTCTTCAATAATGTTTACATATGAATTTCCTTTAATATGTTTACATAAACAAATGAATTTCATGATATTTTTGATAATTACACAAGTGAAGGTCAACTAGGTTTAGGATTTGTTATCGCAAATCTTTTTGAAAGAATTTTGATTCTATTTTTTAACCCTTCAGCCTTTCCTTATTTTTCGATTCTCCCGTAGAGTTCTATTAGTATATGTGCTTGTATTAGCTGATTTACATTAATTATCCAACCCCTCCTTCTAACTCCTCCAAGTCTATTTCCTCTGGTCCAAGATATCTTCCTGTCCAACTTCCTGTCCGAACATCTACGGGGGTTAGTTCCGGTTATTTTAAAATTGAGGGATATCCAGGCTTAACTCTCTCTCTCTCACTCTGACACTCTCTCACTCTCACTTCCTCCTTCCACCCTCCGCTTTTTAAAATGCCACAGAGCCCCTCATTGAGGATAGGTCATTTTATTTTTTATTTAATTACTACACGCATATCCTCCTTCAACTTGCCCTATTCCTTATAATAAGCACCTTTTTTAAAAAATTATTTTCCCCCAAATTTGTAAAGTAATAATGACTTGAACCTTTCTATTGTTGCTTTCCTTTATTAAATTTACAATTTTTAAGTCAATCGCCCTCATATTATTCAATTATATAATTACTTTTTCTTATTTGTAACCCAACATTTTTTCTCATTTTTTAGTTCATTCAAAAACCTATTTTCCCAAAAAAAAATTTTTTTTTAATTTCCAAAATCCGTGTTTTACCCTAATTTTTTTTATTTTTTCAGTTAACTGGGGACAGGAAAAAAGAATGGCTGTCCCGCCCATTCTTGGGTCCTCATACCTCAGGAAATTGTCCAAAAATATAGGTGGAAAGTTGAAGAGACTTTCAAGACCTTTAATTAGTGGTGGAATTGGCGACAAGATGGATAAAGGGAATTTGTGGATTGTGCCTGGTTTTACTATTCTAATTTTTGCTTGTTTATGGACTACTAAATTGTAAGTCTAATTTTAAACATTTAAAAAAATTTTGTGGGAGAGACATTCTCTAAAACAAACATTAGTAGTTCGTAGGGAACATCTATAGTGCGAAAGGAACATTTATAATCCGAAGGGAGTAGTTCTTAGGTACCATCCTTATTGTGGAAGAACATCCCCTTGTCCGAAAGGAACATTCACTCCATTGTAGGAGGGGGAGAATTTTACTTATCTGTAAAGTAACTATTACCAACCTCAATTATTCAAACAATAGGTTATATTTCACTAAAAAATTTTAATTCTAGATCAAAAGTTGCATTAGAAGAATCAACATGTAGAGTATGTTTTAAATATATTTTTAGAAAAAATTATTTCCACTAGGGAGCCTCAATTTATGACTTCACAGGAACACAACTAGATCAAGATGCGCAGAGGCATTGTCAGACTGCGAGGAGGTATTATGTTGCACCAGAAGAACCTCTTTTGTATGATTATAAATGGAAATTGGACAGACAAGTGAAAAATCCGGAAGTGAGTATATTTTTATGTATTTTCCGGAAAATACCAGAATATTAAATATGTGTTTTATTACACGTTTTTTCCGGAATAATATATTTTTCCGGAATGTAATAGTATGAAAAAAATACATCGTATTGTTATATGTGTTTTTCCGGAAAAGTTTTAGAAACACATAACACTACATATAATAACTATAAAATTTCCGGAAATATTTTTCTGGAAGTAGATAACATAATACAAGATTTTCCGGAAAATTCCGGAATAAATAATATAGTAATACAATAAAATGTTTTATTACTTTTTCCGGAAGTAAATAAATATCAGATAATACAAGATTTTCCGGAAAAATATACTTTCTGGGATGTTCCGGAAAAATTACAGCTAGCATTATTTATTCTAATAATTCATATTAAGTGGATTTTGTGGTTCTGGGCTCCCATCGTCTTTGTTATGTATGTAATTACTCGGTTTGTCTGGTCACTTTTATTGGACAATCAAGGTATAACAAATATTTATTATTATTATTTTTCCTAATTTAAGGCATAAACTTTCCCAACGTTGTAAACGCCGCTGAGAGTGTAACGGTAGAAAATGACGGAATTATTGAAATTGATGAAGAAAAATTGAATGACAGGCTAAATGTTATTGCAGAAAATTTTCGTTGTTCAACATCCTCACGAGCTTTTTCGGGTGCCGAATTTTCTAAATTTTTATAAAATCCCCCCCCCCCCCTCTTTTCAGCATTTATTGCCTTTGAATTCACGTTGGTTTTGGCTCCCGTATGTCTTCTACTGTTTGTTTTGCCTATTATGATTGGACCTAATTATCGAAGTTGGGGGTTGGATGTGATCAAAGCTTGGTGGGAACGTAAAGACTGGCAAGGAGTTTCATTACCCCCAGTTTTTGGCTTCCAGTCGCCTGAACTTGGCGGTCGTCCTGCTGTCCCCCTAATTCCCAGAATTACCTATTGTGACTATCAATTTGTTTCTATTGGCAATTCTCATACTCTTACTTATCGTTGTTATTTGGATGCAAATTGGCATGAAAGGACTGCTCTGTTTATTTGGTATGTAGCTAGGAGCTTTAGATAGTCTTCAGTTGTGATTGAGGTCTTTTGTTTCTAAAGGGAACAGTTATCAAGAGAGAACAGTCATTATTCGGTATTGTAGTGTAGTGCGTAAGTGACATTCATAGTCCGAAAGGAACTCTCCTAGTCGGAAGGGAACCTTCCTATTCCGAAAGGAACATTCATAGTCCGAATGGTTGTATGATCTGAATTGAGCATTCATTATCTGAAGGGAACGTCCATACGAAGGGATATTCATATCTGAAAGGATATAGTCCGAAAAAACATTTCCAGTCCGAGGGGTACATTACTAGTTCGAATGAAACATCCCTAATTCAACGGGAACATCCCCCTCTTTTAATTTATAACTTTTTCAGGATAATGCTTGTGTTTCTTACAATAGTTAATCTTCTCAATCTCTTTTTTTGGATAGAATGGGCTGTTCGAATGAAATTTAAGGTGGTTTGAATTAAAAATCGCCCTTTAAATTTTAATTTTTAGAAGCCTAGAAGAAGATGGGTTTTACGTAAATGGTTAAATACTGACGAATTTTTGACGGACAACGAATTGGTGTTAATGAGAAAATTTGCTAGTACCTTTCGAACTGGGAATTTGTTGTTATTTTATTATATTGAAGCACATAGCAGTAGAGTAGTTGCTAGTGGTGAGGAATTTTAAGAAAAAATTTTGGGGCTTAAAATTTATCAAAATGGACAATATATAGTGTGAAGGGAACACATCCCAGGTTCGAAAGGGACATCCCTGATCCGTATGGAACTTACATAGCTTGGAGGGAACAACACCAAGTTTAAAGGGAACATCTCTAGTTTCGAGAGGAGACATTATTAGTTTGAGTGATCACTCCCAGTTCTCATAGTTCTGAAAGGAACTTTCTTAGTTTGAAGGGAAAAAATTTTTTAAAGAAATTTTCAAAAAAATTTTTTATAATTTTTCAGCCTTTTGTATCGCCTTGTTCAGACGTTGGTTAGATAGAAGGGCAGCACATTATTCTAATAATCCGCATCCTAGAGGTGACAGTGTAGGAGATGGTGATTTTAATGGACAGAAGGCAAGAAAAATTTTCAAGAAAATTTTAGAAAAATTTTCAAAAAAAACTTCTAACCCCTACGAAATTTTTTTAAAAATTTCTAACCCCTAAAAAAATTTTTATTTAAAATCAAATTTAAATTTACAGCCAAAAGAACAAATTGGATGGAAACTCGATCCAGAAGAAGGTGATGGATTGGCTCCAAGTCCTTCCGAGTATTACTCACCATTGGAGACCGGAGAATCGCCAGAAAGTACAATGCCTTTTATTTCTCCCCAACACAGATATACCGACTCTTCTGATAGTTCTACTAATTCTAAGCCTCCTGGTAAATTTTAAATTATTTAAAATTTAGGAAATTAAATTTTTGGGAGGGTTGTTAAGGGGGTATACTAGACTTGTAATTTGAGAGAAATCCTAGGACCGAGGGCTTCAACTTACCATTCTCTCCCTATCCCTCCATTCTCTTCGGACCATGAATGTTCCCTTCGGACTGGGAATGTTCCCTCCAGCCTATGAAGGTTCCCTTCGGACTAGGAACGACGCCTTACTACAACGGTGGCATAGAGATATCTGGGACTATAAATCAGAAGGATTATTCATTATCGGTTCTATTGGGGTCTGCCGGTTGCTTCTCTTCAAAAAAATTGAAAAAAATTCAAAAAATTTATTAACACTTTTTAACATTCTAACAAACTTACATAATTAAATTTTTAAGAAAAAGGCAGCAAATTCGCAACTTCCACCCCTTTTGCGCCGGGAGAAACCCCGCGAGGAATTGGCACTGGCCGGCCCCAATTTCCAAGGAGAGGAGGTCATTATTCAAAAAACTTACGGGAGGCCTCAAGGTTGTCTTGTTGAATATATTGAATTCTCTCTCTAATAAAAAGGCTACTAAGCAAATCGGTCCTGGTTCCCGACCTTACATTCTTCCTTCAGACCCTGAATGTTCCCTTCGGACAAAAACTATGAATGTTCCTTTCGGACTATGGAAGTTCCCTTCAGACCATGAATGTTCCCTCCAGCCTATGAATGTTCCCTTCGGACTAGAAACTTGACTACTTCTAGCCTATAGGACCCTTCCCTTTATTAGAGAGGGTCTTTCTATTAGAGAGATTACAGTAACATACTTATATTTTAATTTCAACAGGGAACCATTAAAACCTGGAGGAAGTGGAGGCAAAGGAAAAATCCCTCTAATCAGCTCAAAAGAAAGGAGGAGGTTGGAAAAAGAAGCTAAGGAAAAGGAAAAGCGGCGAAAAGAACAACAAAAAGAATTGGAACAACAGGAAGAAAATAATAATGGGGAGAGGAGAGAAAATAGGCGGTTTGGTTGTTTGGTTATGTAAAAATGTTTTTTTCCGGAAAACACAACTTTGTCTGCCTATGTCTCTAATCAGCATTTTCTGAAAGTCTAACAACTTGCTTAAACCAAAAAAAAGAAAGATAAGCTAATTTTATTTAACGCCTGAGGCAATTATTTAAATAATTAATTTTATCTACTAAACATATTAAGAACTCTAATTTATATTTCTTTCTATTTTTTATATTTATTTTTATATTACACACTTACTATTGTAATGACGAAATGGAAGGGTTTATGTGTTTTTCCGGAAAATACTTAAAGGCAGAGAAACAAGATATAATCAGAAAAACACAAGTGGAAAAACACATGTTTCCGGAAAACACACGTGGACAAACTAAAGAATATAGTTCTTTCCGGAAACAAATTAATCAGAATATAATGTATTTTCCGGAAAATACATAGGTTACTAAATTAATTCTGAAAATTTGTATTTCTTTCTGGAAAAGATGTGTGCAAAGGAATTATGTGTTTTTCGTATTTTTCCGGAAAGTAGACAAACCAATAGAATATATTTTCATGTGCTATTTCTTTCCAGAAAAGTCAACTACAACCATTTCGTCAATTAATTATTTTTCCTATATTTTTAGTATTTAAATAGTTAATTTTCAAACTAAAAAAAATTTTTTTAATTCCTCACATTCCCTCTAAATATTCTCTTATATATTTTTAACTACTCAATTTAAGCCTTTATATTTTTACAGCACTTACATTTTTGAATTTTATTTTTTTTAAATATTTATTTATATTTTGCCTTCATTCGAAATTTATTTTTGTTATTTTTTTCTTCTCTTCAAATCGAAGAGAATTTCATCAAAGTGCCATCACCAATCCACTCCTTTAAAAATAAATTTTTTATAATATTTTTGGTGCCTTTGCCTCATTTTTGTTTATATCATGGATTTATTTGTTAAAATTTAGTTAAAGACATTCACGTAATATACACCCAATATTAGACATCCCTCTTATTTAAGGCTACTGGGTGGGGGATGAGAAGTGGGTCGGAATTCCGATTTCCGACTTTTTCCTTCGATTTCCGACTTTTGAGCCAGTTCCGATTTCCGGCTCTTCCGATTTCCGACACCTCTGACTGTTCCGACCTACCTCTGTGTGGGAGGAAAGCTACCTAAGTGATACCTATAATATACACTAGTGATGGTCGGGATTCCCGGTCTCGGTTCCCGAGTCGGGAAATTTCCCGGGTTTTTTGAGCTCTCGGTCTCGGTCTCGCTCTCGGTGTTTTAGTCTCGGAAAACGAGACTAAATTTACACCCCTAATGACGGACTTTTTTGAATTTTACTCGTACCTCGCATACTTTGACATTTAATTTTTTAAGGAAAAGTGAAAGAAATATTTATATTTTCTCCATTTTTCTTTTGTTGTTCTATGGTTGAGTGGTTAGTGTGACTTACTTCAATCATTTAGATATTTTGTTAAGTCTGGGTTCGAATCCAGGGGCAGAATTGAGGCTGAAAAAATTTTTCTTTTCAAAAATAAATGTCTTTTAACTTTGTTTTTGATTAAAAAAAATTTTTTTTTAATATTTTAAACTTGAAAAGACATTAAAAATTTTAATTTAATCATGAATTTTCCAAAATTTTCGCATGAGGCGACTAAATCTTCACATGCGGCGCAGAAAATGGGAGAAATCTGGCTTCTTGAGCTCCAAAATTCTCAAAAGTTTCGCCTGCGGCGCAGAAAATGAATGAAATTGGAGGATTTATGGCTTAAAATCTTAAAAACCCTTTTTTTCGGAGATTCTTTTTTTCCGGAGGTTAAAAATGTTCAACGTAAACTTATGCAGCGTCGGCGAGGCGCTTGTGCAAAACCCCGCGCTTCGCGTGAGGTTTTGCGGCACGCGCCTCGCGGGTAGTCAACGGTCGCTGGGCTCTGGGCTCGTAACATGATCCTATTCCTATCATCAATGAGATGGGCATCCCAGGATTCCTCCACAGCAGCTAACACTCCACGGTGTATAGGTAAGGTAAAGAAGAGAGCGAAATGGGTATAATCTGCAAAAGCGGATCTGCAAATGTCTGATCTGCAAGTGTCATATCTGCAAGTGTCGGCATCTGCAAATGTCGGGTCTGCAAAGGTCGGGTCTGCAAGTGTCGGGTCTGCAAATGTCATATCTGCAAGTGTCGTGACACGATATCAAGTGATATCCCTCCTAATCTCTTGGTCTCGACTCTCGGTCTCGACCCGGGACTCGGTCTCGGGGTCGATTCCCGGTCTCAGTCTCGACTCCCGACTCTCGGCTTTTTTTAACTCCCGACCATCACTAATATACACCTTATTATAAGGTACCCTTCATTCTTTAAGCTCCAGGCGAATGTGGGTATATTATAGTGAAGTCATTGTATTTTTGTAAAAGGAAGAGTGCTGAGTATAATAGAAAAATACGAATTCGGAAAACATTTCCGGAAAAACATTCAAAAGCCAAGATTTCTGTACTCTTCTACAATTTCCTCCTAAAGAAATTTTCGGCAATAATTAAAATATATTTAAAATAATATACATAATGGTCTCACTGCAAAAATTCCCCTCCCCAACATACAACAAAAATATTTTTGCACCTTAATTTGTATTTTTCATTTAATTTTACAACGAAATTCGTCTTAAATGTAGTGGTCGAAAAATGGATGTGTTTTTAACGAAAATACAAAAAAATACACATACCGGAAAATAATTAAAGGGAGGAACTTTCCGGAAAACACATAAGCTAATACATTTGTTCTATTACGGGAACAGCCCAAGTAAGCGCGCGGTCATATAGGCGCAAAGTCATAACTTGCTTCATGATTTCCGAATCTTACCAACTTTAGTATTAAACGATTCCTCTTATCGAGCTAAAGAGATTGGTACCAAAATTGATGAGTCAGAAATTATCCAGTAAGTTATCTTTTGCGCCGTTATGGCCGCGCGTCTACTTGAGCGTGCCCCATATGTACTACATACATTTTTGACGTCTATATCATTTTTTTTACATTAATTATAATTTTTGTTTTGTGCATTTGTTAAATATTTTATTAAAAAAAATTTTTTTTCAATTTTTTTACATTTAAACATATTTTCCTTGTTAATTTATAACATCAAAAAATAACTTAAATTTTATTTCGAAAAATCATCAATTAGAAAACAACTTTAAATATGAAAAACAAGAGATTTTTTAAAAATAAGCTACAAATATTTATATTAGAGATCGAACCGAGACGAGATATCGAACAAAAATCCAGGTTATTAAGTTGAGATTTTTTAAAAAGATATCGATCTCGATTTTCGTACGACCCTCCCAATCCGGTCTCTGGTACTTTTATTTGCCTTTATACCACACCCCTCTACTTTCTCTTCGATTTCGGGAAGGACAACAACACTTAACCTTCCAAAACTTGTCCTAATGTCATTTTGCAACAAAACGGATATCACTTTCCAACAGCAATGTATGAGGTCTTATATCGAATGGCAAACTTTCCCCTTTCCCTAAAAGACTCAAAAAAGGGGACAGAACTTCTTAAAATCAAATTTCCCTATTTTTCCAACAAAACTTTCTCAGAATTTTCCTAATCCAAAGGGGTGTGGCATAAAAATAAATAAAAGTCCCCAAAAATAAATTAACAATTAAATCAATTTAAGAAGACCCACTACTTCCGGGTCCATCCAAATTAATATTCACCTCTTTCTTATCAGCAGACACATCAGCATAAACAACATTTGAGGTTGATGAGCTTTGCGGAATAAAAGAAGACGAGGTCCCAACCAAATCGTGCTCGTCCATCTCCATACCGCGAGAGTCCACCACCGGGGCAGGTGGCGGACTCTCGCGGTACTCATACTGCCTTGCTATCTCCCTCTTTTCGTCATCAGTTAAATCCTAAAAAATAATTTTTTAGTTAAAAAATAAAGTTAAAGAAAAAGGACACATTTTCCGTTAACCCTAACTATTCCGTTATCCCTTAAAAAAATTTATTGCCACATACTGACTTCAAGTATAAACTCTAGACTCAGTCTAATTTCAATTTTTATTTCAAATTCCAAAATTTGAACAAAAAAAAATTAAAAAAATTTTTCTCACATCAGGAAGGCACAAAAGCTCTCGAATCTCACTTGCTGACTTATCCATAATAACCCTTGCAGCCTCCTGTGCACCTTTAACGAAATAAATTTTTTAATTTTCAAAAAAAAACTCACAATAATAATATAAAGATTTGACATCCAAGAAATTGGAGGCCAAATAAATTTCCTTCAAAAACTCGAAATCATCAATTTCAAAAAAATTTTTCTCCCAATCAGTCAAATGGAACCATTTGCGCTGAAAAATCTAATTAAATTTTATTAATTTTATTTAAATAATTTTTTTCTTGATAAAAGTGCCGTTTGTGTTTCTCCTTTTTTCTCGTTTTTCCATCTCCGATCTATTTTAGATATTTTTGAAGTTTAACATAGGTAATTAAGTGAGCTGAGTTCGAATATGAGGTAAGATTTTATTTTTTTTAGAGTCAGCTTACTCGATTGCTTAAAAGTTATTTCTTGGCTCTACTCCAGTTTATGCGTCCAATCAAAAGAAAATTGGATTTTTCTTGGTATTGCACAGTTAGGGTATGGTTTCAAAACATTTCTTCATGTTCAGGACCTACGTCCACTGGGTCTGGGACCGTTCCTTGCCATATCACCCAAAATTTCGGAAAGTTATAATTGTTTTTCCGAAACTTTTAAAAATTGGCTACAACTTTCAGAAATTTCAAGGGATAGGGCAAGGAAAGGTCCCAGACCCAGTGGGCGTAGGTCCCGAACATGAATAAATGTTAAAGAACCCAACCCAACTTCAAAATATAAAGAAAAATCCAATTTTCTTTTGATTCGACGCATAAACTTTCATTGGACGCATAAAAGTCGATTGGACGCATAAACTGGAGTAGAGCCTATTTCTTTTATCGAGGTAAATGGAAAAATATGACAAACGAGGAAGCACAAACGACACTTTTACTTGTTTGTTTTTTAAGTTTTTACAGGAAGTCGATGTTCCCTTGTCAGCTTCAAAAAACTCATTCGAATAATAGTTTACCATAAAAAGTGAAAAATAGAAAGGAAAATGGGGACACGATTATTTTTTATTATTACGATTATTTAAATATTTATTACCTCGCCAGTTATATGGTCATACTTAATTTCAATTGGTCCCTGGCCTAAAAATAATGAAAATTATTAATCTTAATAATTAAAATTTTTCAAAAATTTAACGGAACTTGTTAGCTTAAGCAACATTTTTTACCTCTCCACGTTTCCCTTCTTTCCCATCAATCAGGTTTAAAAATAAAAGGATTTTTCTAGGGTAAAAAATGTGTTAAGTACGAATATGAGTTCAGATTTTGAAAAGCCAAATCCAGAACCCGAATTATTTGTTTAAACATTTCGGGCCCCATACGCAAGTGGGGGCACCAGGATTTTTTACATTTATTTTTCCTTCCTTAGAATATATATTTTCCTAATAATTTCGAGCTGCAAAGTTCGGGTACGCAAATTTGAATATGAAAATTTGCGGCGCGCCGTTCGAAAAATGTTTAATGCGACGTAGGGTAGGAAAATCAGTAAAAAGGAATATGTTTATGTTACTAGTGCAAAACCCAGCGACCGGTGTTTCCGCGAGACGCGTGTTTATTTTTGAATTTTTTTTCGGAAAAACACCTATTCTCCAGGTTTGCCGATTTATGCAAAATTCCCATAAGTTCAGTTTAATTATTTCCAAAAATTAAAAACCTTGATGATTACGTAGCCATTCAACAACTTTAACAAAGCACTCTTCGGTAATTTCATTGAGTGGGAAATGAAAGCAGTCCAAAGCGTCAGAATTCACAGAATCTTCCAAATTTAAACTTTCCCTAAAATTTAATTTAAATTTGTGAATTTTAAAAAAAATTTAAAAATAAACCAAAGCAGGACAAAAGCTCCACATTGCATCATCAGATGCCATTCAACCTTTAATTTAAAGATAGAAATTTTTTGTTTTAATTTTTAATTAGAAATTTGTAACAAAAAATTTTCTCGTTCCTCTCCCAGTCTTTTCCAAAAATTTTCGCTACGTTCCGATAATAGGTATTTATTCTAATCCCCTCTCCCAGTCCGCGTTATAGTATAATACCCAGATTATATACCCGCAGTCTTTCAAGCCAAGATACAGTTGGTTACAATTTTGTTCAGAATTTTTGACCCCAAAAATGTCCGTGTTACCCTATAGGTTTTATAATTTTGAGGGTTTGTATCTTTTTCTTACAGGCATTTCCAATCATCCCGAGTGATACCATTCGCCTTGGACCGAGAAGACGAACCGAAGGAAGCCGTCAAAGGAAGCCGTAGGAAACAGTTAAAGCGAAAGGCTTTAGAGAGAAATTGAAAAAATTATTTTTCATTCAAAAACCCTTAATTTAACAAAAAAATAAATTTAAATTAACCTCAACAACTTTATCATCCCACGTGACGCATTTAATTTTTCGTTGTTTTTGTTCCTCAGTCAAAACATAATTATACAAAGCTAGAATATTAAAAAATTTAATTAAAATATTTTTTTCTAAATTTAATACCCGGCTCCTGAACATTTTCTTCAGCCTCGACGACTCCATTTTCTGTGCTAACAATTGATTCTTCAGACATTATTAAATAATAATGGCAAAATCAGAATTAAATTAGAACAAGAAGAAACTAGATAAATTTAAAATTTGTTTTTAAAAAAAATCAGAATTAAATTTGAACAAGACAAAATAATGTTTGTCAGAAAATCAGAATTTGTTTTAAAAGAAAAATCAGAATTAAATCTGAACAAGACAAAATAATGTTTGTCAGAAAATCAGAATTTGTTTTAAAAAAAAAATCAGAATTAAATTTGAACAAGTCAAAACTATGTTTGTCAGAAAATCAGAATTTGTTTTAAACAAAAATCAGAATTAAATTTGAACAAGTCAAAACTATGTTTGTCAGAAAATCAGAATTTGTTTTAAACAAAAATCAGAATTAAACAATATCAGAATTATTTATAAAAACAATTAAAAACAAATCAGAATTAAATTAGAACAAACACAAAAACAAATGTTCGAGGCGACATTTGAGTTTATGCTTATTTTTGGTATTTGGGTCAAAACCCATTTCGTCAATATACAGTTCGTCAGAAGTATCGTTGGTCCAGAGACCTCGTTTAGTTTAACCTAGAAGATTCTGTTATGTTTAGAATTTGCTTCTTCTCCTATATTTATATATCAAAATTATAACGCCCATTTCTCATGAAGCTTAACTAACGATATGAACAATTACCCCGAACTTAAAAAAAAAACAAAGAATAAGGCAAAATAGCTTATAAATTTACCCCTCATTTATTTTTTTATTTAAAAACATTAATGCTACATATTAATATGAGGGTAGAAAAAGATTGCTAGGTGGATAGTAAATGTTTGAAAATGTGGGGAAACTTGTGCGGAAATTATGGGTAAGATAGGCTAGTATATTTTAAGATCAATAGAAAAAAATTTTTTTCTCCTCGTTCGCCCCAACAGAGCATCGCAGGCAAAAATAGTGGACATATGTGCGGCTCTTCTACAAAAGCCATTTGGATAGGAAAAAGGCAAACAACGGGGCAAGCCAATAAACGATAAAATGGGCAAGGTGTGTTACCTTAAAGAGATTTGAATTTTTTTAAATAAAATTTAAAGACCTCTCCACAATTAAATGTAAGTGCCCAGGCTACTATTGGATTGGCATACATTCCGGTTAAATTAATCCCTTTAAAATAAATTGGAAAATAATGTTCGAATTTTGTTCTGATAAATGTTTTGTTCGTGTTCGGATTTTATTCTGTTTTTACTCTTTGTTCTGATTTTTTCTTTTATGTTTTGTTCATGTTCTGACCGTATATTCTGATTGTTTCTCAATTTGTTCTGATGTGTTTTAATCGTTTTCTGACATGTTTAGATCGTGTTCTGATTTTTTCTCGTCATTTATAAACTTGTTCTGATTTTTTATCTGATATGTTTTGCTCATGTTCTGATTTTTCTGGTCATTTTTAACTTGTTCTGATTTTTTATCTGATATGTTTTGCTCATGTTCTGATTTTTCTGGTCATTTTTAACTTGTTCTGATTTTTTATCTGATATGTTTTGCTCATGTTATGATTTTTCTGGTCATTTTTAACTTGTTCTGATCTTTTATCTGACATGTTTTGACCGTGTTCTGATTTTTTTCTGAACAGTTAGAAACTTGTTCTGATTTTTATTTAACATGTTTAGTTAATGTTCTGATTTTTTTGTTATCTTATAATGTTATTCTGATCATGTTTTAATCATATTCTGATCTTTTTCATTTAAAGTTTAATATGTTTTGTTCATATTCTGATTTTTATTCGCCGTCTAAAAACATACCCAAAATAGTTATTAAACCAGAAATTGCTGAAAGCACAATTGTAACATACTTTTCATCAATTAAAGTCTCATCAATAAAATGTTCAGCTATTTTACACCCTAGCAGTCCAATTGCTTCAACGACAGAGCCATAAATAATGGCTACCTTTAAAAAAATTTTTGAGGGACTTTTCTCTTAAGAAAACCGTCAAATCAGAACTGCAGTTGTCTTCAAGTGCTTCAAGGTGTTTAAAATGAAGGCCAAAAGAATAAAATGTTTTGGAAACAAAATAAGAGAAATAGCCTTTTTTTAATTGTTTTTAAAATTAATTACAATTGTAAAATACCCGCAGCAAATTGTGTTAACAATAAAAGTGAAGCTATACGGGAGGAATGTTGGCCATTTAAGTAGCTATAAAACTGAAAAGAAATCAGAATTTAATTAAAACATAGGATAAGTGTTAAAAACAGAATATGTAAAATCAGAATAAAACCAGAATAATATCAGAATATCATCAGAAAAAACATCGGAATAAAACCAGAATAAATTAGAAAATTATCAGAATAAAATCAGAATAAAACCAGAATAATATCAGAAAAACATAGGAATATTATCAGAATTAAATAAAAACAAGATCAGAATAAAATTTGAACATTAATCAGAATTTAATTAAAACTTGCTAGAGAGCAGGGATCTGCATGTGCTCTTCGCAATAAAAAGGAATTAACAAATTCTATAAAACAAATTTCCAAAAATACACCGCTCAATCCGTAATTATCCATTACAAAGTTTACGTCGAACATTGGAGCGCATAGTTGTAGAGTTCCGATAAACTAAAAAAATTTTTAAATTTGTGAAGTTTATTTTTATGTTTTATTGATATTAGAGAGTCAGAACAGGGCCAGAAAAATCAGAACAAACTCAGAAAAATCAGAACATAACCAGAAAATAAATCAGAATAAAGTCAGAATGAGATCAGAATACAACCAGAAAAGACCAGAATACAGCCAGAAAAAATCAGAATATACTCAAAATAAAATCAGAATAAAATCAGAATTTAATCAGAACACTACCAGAACATCTTCACAAGTCCCTCCTCACATTCTCCTCGGATTTTGGACTTTGATCTTTTCTCTAATAAAGGGGTTTCCCCATAGCCCCTTTCCCCGTTACTTTAAACAACACTGATTTTTATTAATCATTTATCTTCGTGACAATATAAAATTACAAACAACAAACAATTACTTTCCCATACCCATAAATAGAATGGTCAAAAGTCCAAAGTCCACAAATTTATTTAATCTAAAAATCTCCCCTCCCCGTCTGCGCTTCTAAAATCGTCAAATGTTTGTTTAATAAAACACAAACATTAATCATTCCCTTTATTTAAATAATCTATTAAAGTGTCTCCCTTTTAACGATCAATTTTACTACTTTTATTTTAGAGATCACATGTAGTTAATTATTTGTTTGTTTTATGCTATCTAATTATTAAATCTTCCTTATATAAATAGTTTGGAATTTTAGCTTATTTGTCAGACCATGTTTTAATTTAATTCTGATTTTGTTTTGAATAAATTCTGATTTTATTTTAATTATTCTGAACATTTTTCTGAACAAAGTTTTAATTTAATTCTGATTTTATTTTAATTATTCTGAACATTTTTCTGAACAAAGTTTTAATTTAATTCTGACTATGTTTTGAACAAGTTCTGATTTAATTTTAATCTTGTTTTGAACTTATTCTGATTTTATTTTATTTTCTTCTGAACATTTTCTGAACAATGTTTAGATTTAATTCTGATTTTATTCTGAACATTTTCTGGCTTGTTTTGTTTATATTTGCTTTTATTTCGTTCCAAACATTTTCTGATTTTAATTTTCTAAACATTTTTAATTCTTGTTTTAATTTTATTCTGATTTTTATTTTTGTTCCAAAACATGTTTAATTTTTTAATTAACCTCTCAAAACATTTAACAACACATTTATAACGTTATCTATTTTAAAATATTATGGGTGTGCAAATATTAAATAAAATATTTTATCTTTGCATATTTGCATATACTTATATAAATCTGGTGATTTTTTCTTCTCATTTTTTCATAAAATTTGTTAAAAAAAAATTTTCTTTGCTTTTTTCCTCTTAAAAATTTTTCAAAAAAAAAATTTCCATTAAAAAAAATATTTTTTGGCATTCTGTTTATTTTTCTTTTTTAGTCTTAAAATTGAAAAAAATTTTTTTTAGAATTTTTTCAAATTTTTAAAATTCAGAAAATAAGCTTCAAATAAGCTTCAAACTATTTTTTCTTCACTTATTCCTCAAATAATTAACTCCCCAAAAATGCTAACAGCGGATAACAGAAGAGTGGGAAGGTGGTACTTTGGTGGTCTCGCTGGTTGCTGTGCTGCATGTATTTTATTTAATTTATTTTCTTTCTTAAAAAATTATTTTGGGACAAAATGTCAACGAAAAAAATTTCTGAAATAATTTTTTTTGGCATTCTGATTTTTAAAATTTTTATTTTTTCTAGGTTTCACACACCCCTTAGATTTGCTTAAAGTACACTTGCAAACACAACAAGAAGGAAAACTTTCACTTCCACAGACGTGCAAAAAGATATACAAATCTGACGGATTGTTAGGGTATGGAAATTTTTCTAAAAAATTTTTTATTTTTCTTAAAAAATTTTTTTGGGACAAATTGTCATCCAGAAAATTTTTTTAAATTTTTCTAAAAAAAATTTCCAAAAATTTTCCACCTCAAAAACTAATTTTCCCCCATTTTCTCAGCTTCTACAATGGCTTGTCCGCTTCCTTACTGCGTCAATTAACGTACACAACTACTCGTTTTGCAGTCTATGAAACAGTTAAAATGCAGTATTCTGAAGGAAATTTGTCTTTTATTCAGAAAATGGCTTTGGCTGGGGTTGCAGGTTTTTTTATCGAATTTTAAAATTTTTGGGACAAAATGTCATCGAAAAATATTTTTTGCAAATTTTCAAAAAATTATTTTTAGGAGCTGTTGGAGGTGTTGCCGGTTCCCCAGCCGATTTAATTAACGTTAGAATGCAGAACGATATTAAATTGCCTGCCAACCAGAGAAGGAATTATAAAAATGCGATTGATGGGATTATTAGAATGAGCAAGGTTTTTTTTAATAAAATTTTTGAAAAAAATTTTCTGAACCCTTTTTCTGGACATTTTCTAGACTCTTGGAAATCTCCTTTTTTGTTTACCTAAAAATTTCTTGAAAGGTTATAGTGAACATATACTTTAGGGTAAAATACAAGCCTTTAATCAAATGTTGCCTCCCTTTCGTTCAGAATTAATGGTAACCCAAACAGATCATCTAGTATTTGACAATGAGTCCTAATTTTGTTTTTTCTCTATCTAGTCAAAATTTAAATAAATTTTTTCAAGGAAGAAGGTGTCGCTAAATTATTCAATGGGTGTACAATGGCAACTGGAAGAGCTATTTTAATGACTATTGGGCAATTGTCTTTTTATGATCAAATTAAACAGGTTTTTTTAAATCTAAAAATTCATTTTCTCTTCCATTTTTAGATGCTAATAAAAGCAAATTTGGCAAAGGACAATATCTACACCCATTTGTTTTCTTCTTTCCTAGCGGCTTCTGGTGCGACTGTTCTTACCCAGCCTATGGATGTTTGTTTAAATTCATTTTTAAAAATTGGTTAGCCATTGTGTAGGAAGGCCAATGTAAGAGTAGGAAGGCTAAACTACGGTTAAGCTAACCTTCATTTAAAATACACTTGCAAGGAAAGGTCGCGAAGTGTCGGACTTAAAAACGATCGAGACCGGGCTCATTCAATAGAGAATGTGCCCTTTCTAGCAAGGATTTTGTGCCGTTTTTGCCCGTTTTTTGGTCTGGCCAAGATATACCTCGTAACCTTTTCTTGTTAATTATAAGGAGGTACGATTTTTTTCAGCACCAAGGTTCATAAAATAAAAATATTCTATTTTTCAGGTATTAAAAACGCGTTTAATGAATGCACCACCTGGCCAATTTAAAGGCTTATTGGATTGCTTTTTGTACACAGCAAAATTGGGGCCGCTTGGATTCTTTAAAGGCTTCTTCCCCGCGTGGGTTAGACTTGCTCCACACACAATTTTGGTTTATTTAAAAATTTACTTTTAAAAATTAAAAATTTTTTTCAAGCTTTTTGTCTTCTTCGAACAATTTAGAATGCGGTTGGGATATATTCCTGAAGAGAAACTAAAATCCATGGAGAAAGAGGTTTCTTTTAATTTTTTAAAGCGTTCTAAAGGTTTGGGATCAAATGTCATCTGACCCACCCACTTATAAAAATATTTTTTTAAATATTTTTTGGTATTATTGGATAGAG